AGACGATTCTTATGGAGGAGTACTTTTAGGGATCAAAAAGTGCTACCCTTTCTACAAAATTTCCCTTCCTGCTCTATCCGGCGTCGAAATCGTTGCTTGCCAAATAAATGTGAAGAACAAAGATCTTTGCATAGCTTCAGTATACGTTCCACCAAGAACCTCCATTAGCCGTAGTCAACTCTGGAATCTAGTTTCGATTCTTCCATCCCCAGTATTAATTCTGGGTGATATGAACTCCCATGGTACTGGGTGGGGCGATCTATATGACGACAATAGAGCGGCTATTTTTTACGATTTATGTGACGATTTCAATTTGACTATTTTGAACACTGGTGAAGCGACACGTATAGCAAAACCTCCGGCTCGAGAAAGCCGACTCGACCTATCTTTGTGTTCAAGATCGCTATCATTGGATTGTCAGTGGAAGGTTATCAATGATCCCCATGGTAGCGATCATTTGCCAATCATCATTTCAATAAAGTGTGGCCCTCACTCTGCAGAACCATCTCGGGTTCCATTTGATCTTACAAGGAACATCGACTGGCAGAAATATGCAACGGCGGTGACAATCGAGGTCGAATCAATAGATGCGCTTCCACCATTGGAAGAATATCGATTCCTAGCCGATTTGATTTACAAAAGCTCACTGGAAGCACAAAAAAGAAAAGTTCCAAGTGCACCCTTTAAAAGGAGACCAGCCACACCTGGTTGGGACGAAGAATGCACAAAATTGTATGTAGAAAAATCTGATGCTTTCAAAGCTTTTCGTAGACACAAAACCTCCACTTACTTCGAGGAATATTCAAAGCTTGAGACAAAGCTGAAACAATTAATCAAAGCAAAAAAACGCGGTTATTGGCGCAATTTCGTCGAGGGACTCTCACGAGAAACCTCAATGAACACCTTGTGGAGGGTGGCTCGCAACATGCGTAACCGCTCATCTTTCAATGAGAGTGAAGAATACTCCAACCGATGGATATTCGATTTCGCTAAAAAGGTCTGTCCGGACTCAGTTCCAGCACAACATATTCTTCGAGAAGCGTCTCCTAGCGGCGGCTCTCTGGATAGACCATTCTCAATGCTGGATTTCTCTATGGCTCTTCTTTCATCGAACAACTCCTCACCGGGAAGCGATATGATTAAATTCAATCTTCTGAAAAATCTCCCAGATATCGCTAAAAGACGCTTGCTAGATTTATTCAATTCCTTGCTAGAAAACAACATTGTACCGCCTAAATGGAGACAGGTCAAAGTAATAGCCATTAAAAAACCTGGCAAATCAGCGTCTGACCATAACTCATACCGTCCGATTGCTATGCTTTCGTGCATTAGGAAATTGTTGGAGAAAATGATCCTTCGGAGACTCGATCACTGGGTCGAATCAAATAACTTGCTATCAAATACACAGTTTGGGTTCCGCAAGAGTAAAGGAACAAACGATTGTCTAGCGCTGCTTTCCACAGATATTCAACTGGCCTTTGCGCACAAGGAGCAATTGGCTTCAGTATTCTTGGACATTAAGGGGGCTTTTGATTCAGTTTCCATTGAAATTCTGTCAGAAAATCTGCACAGATGTGGACTTTCTGGAATTTTAAATAATTTCTTGTACAATTTGTTGTCAGAAAAGCAAATGAACTTTTCTCTTGGAAAACTGACAACTTCCAGAATTAGTTACATGGGCCTGCCCCAAGGCTCATGTCTCAGCCCTCTTCTTTATAACTTTTATGTCAAAGATATCGACAACTGTTTGGCAGAACAATGCACGCTAAGACAACTTGCAGATGACGGTGTGGTGTCCGTAAGAGGTCCACATGCCATGGACTTGCAAGGACCACTGCAAAATTCCTTAGATAACTTATCTTCTTGGGCTATGAATCTAGGGATCGAATTCTCGCCGCAGAAAACTGAACTGGTAGTGTTTACTCGAAAGCGGTACCCAGCCCAAATGCAACTAAATCTTTTGGGCAGAAACATTACTCAATCATTGTCTTTCAAGTACCTTGGGGTCTGGTTTGATTCAAAGTGCACTTGGAATGCCCATATTACGTATTTGAAGCAAAAATGTCAGCAGAGGATCAACTTTCTCCGTTCAATTTGCGGCACATGGTGGGGTGCTCATCCGGGAGACCTCATAACGCTTTATAAAACAACTATTCTCTCTGTTCTAGAGTACGGCTCTTTCTGCTTTCTCTCGGCAAGAAAAAGTCACCTAATAAAATTGGAACGAATTCAATATCGTTGTCTGCGTATTGCTCTAGGCTGTATGCACTCAACGCATAACATGAGTCTCGAGGTTCTGGCAGGAGTAACACCCCTCCAGAACCGTTTCTGGGAGCTCTCTCTCAGAATACTAATCAAATGCGGAGTGACGAACACACTTATAATTACTAATTTTGAAGAAATTCTTGGGCTGAACACACAATCTCGATTTATGAGAATCTACCACCACTACATATCATCAGATATGTGTCTTCCTTGTTATACTCCAGACCGTGTTCACTTCACCAATCGCAGTTCCTCAATTGAATATGATCTGACCATGAAACAAGAAACTCATGGGATTCCCGATCAACTTCGACCTATTATTATTCCGCGTATTTTTACTGAAAAGTACCAACAAGTCAATTGCATGAAAAGATATTTTACAGACGGGTCCCGTCTCAATGGATCCACTGGCTTCGGTGTCTTCAATGAAAACTCTAGCGCCTTCCGCAAACTTCAGGAACCTTGTTCCGTTTTTGTTGCTGAGCTGGCAGCAATCAACTTCGCATTGGGGATGATTTCCAACATGCCCGCAGACCATTACTTCATCTTCTCGGATAGTCTCAGTTCGATTGAGGCTATTCGGTCGATGAAACAAGGTAGGCACTCATCTTATTTCCTTTCAAAGGTAAGGGAGCAGATGTGTGTGCTGGTCGAAAGATCATATATGATTACCTTTGTATGGGTCCCCTCACATTGCTCAATCCCAGGCAATGAGAAGGCGGACTCTCTCGCAAAGGTGGGCGCGCAGGAAGGCGAATTGTATGACAGGCAAATTTCACACGATGAATTTTACCATTTAGTGCGTCAGAGTACCTTTTCGAGTTGGCAAACCGATTGGGACACTGGAAATCTTGGACGGTGGTTACATTCAATTATTCCTAATGTTTCTTCGAGAGCGTGGTTTAAAGGCTTGGGCTTAAGTCGTGACTTCATTCGCGTGATGAGTAGACTTATGTCCAACCACTACTCGCTAGATGCTCATCTCAATAGAATAAACCTCGTGGACAGCAACATCTGTCGGTGTGGAAACGGTTACGATGACATCGAACACGCAGTTTGGCAATGTACGGATAATGACGCCGCCAGAGAGCGACTTTTGAATACCCTCGAGGCCCAAGGAAGACAACCCTATGTTCCTATCAGAGACGTGTTGGCAACCCGTGATCTCTGCTATATGCAGTCCGTTTATGTTTTTCTTCAAATGTCTAGTATAAGAATTTAATTCCTTTTGTCTTTTGTCTCTCTTTATTAGTTTTTGTTTGTCTTGTCCCCCCGTCTCGATGAGTCTCATCGTCGCCCACTGGTCACCCACCATAGCCGGTCGAACTCCGGACGAAGCTAGAACAGCACTACCGTTCATACTGGCGACAACGCTCTGATGAGACAACGAAACCCTACCCCAAGCTCCTCCCCTGATCCTATCCTTCGAAAATGTACCCTTCTAACCTCGAGTAAGCCGCGAGTAATCGGCCCAACTCCTACTAGACATAGAATTAAGTGAATTTTGTTACACACAGTGAACAATGAATGATCGGCTCCGTAAAGCTAACGCGATCGAGCCTTCCAAATAAACGAACTAGATAAAAAAAAAAACCATGCCGCATTTAATGTTACATGGTTGGAGCTTAAATATGTTATGGATCACCAGCACTGCTGATGTTTTCGGCAGTTTCAAGAACTGGATCGCATTGCAGGAGGTTGAGCCGAGTAGCTCGACAATTAATCATTTTGTTCGACCATTTTCCACAGAGATGGCGCTGTTCTGCTGGTAGGAAGTGATAAAAACCCCCATATAAAAATTGAGAGAAGTGGGAATAATTCGCTTTCGGTGCATATTCAGGTCAAAAAAAGTGAACGCCAACCTAAAGAAATTAATCAGGGACTTTGTCGTTCAGTTTTTTCCCGGAAATTATTGTTAAACAAGCTACAATTAAATAAAAATGATTTTTCCCCATACAATTTTACCTGCTTTACTACCAGTCCCCAGAGAGCCAAAACAATTCAAATTTGAGAGAGAAATTCTCTCTCACGACCTCAATTTCTCAACATGCCATGTATTTTGTTGACACTAGATTTGTGATTTCCCTTTCACAGATTACAAAATAGAGTACCTGACACTACAAAAGCTTTAACATTTGAAGTCCCTCCTTTTTTACATATTCTGCGCAAAAGATACTTTATGCCCCGCCCCATACATAAAATTCGGCGGGAAATTCTGTGAGGGGTGAGCTATTTTGTGTGCAGAATGTGTAAAAAAGGAGGGACTTCGAATAATAATCTAAATGCATATATAGAGGTACCAGACATGTTTTGCACTGCAGTGTCCTCTGTGAACAATTACAGGAAAACAGATTGTGTGTAGTGTCCGATAGATGTCACCGCAAACAGCAGTGACATCTGATGGAACATGAATGCAGAAGCTTGACAAAATGATTAATTATTTTGGCTGATGTGGACCCTACACGATTGCTTTTATTGACAATAATCGTATCAATATTGACGTCAATACATCGGTATTGACAATATTTCTGTATTCACATCATCAATATTAATGTCAATAATTCCCCTTCGCGTCAATATATTGATACTTGTGGGGTTTGCTTGAAATCCCTGCAAAATTTCTGTTTGATCGTTAAGATTTGTATACTTCTTTAAAATAAGCATGTGATTGATTCATACAGTTTGGATTACCCGAAAAGAATCAATCAATGACGGGACGGGAGAATGTTACTTACCAAGAAACGTAGTACAGCCACCCGGCGACCGAGAACAGCCACGTGTTGACAGTGTTGAAGTGTTGCCAGTTCCGCGCGTACAGAAACAGCAACCTCTGCGCGTGGAACGGTGCCCAGCAGACGAAGAACGTGATCACAACAGCCGCTGTAGGTGGGTGGTGAAAGGAATTTTTAATTAGAATACCAATTGAACAAGTAATAAATAGAGAAAAGGAAAGGATAACAAAAGCAGTTGAAACGTATATAAAATCCCACCGTGAAAAGCCGGCGGGTGGGTGTTTAATTTTAATGACACAATTAATTGGGCTGACCCGCACGCTGAGATCCCTTTATCGGTGGATGGCTTGTTGCTACGAGTGACGATGCTAACGCCCAAAAAAAAAAAAAAGAGTGCTGTGTTCTTCTCTAATGAGCGAAACAATGTTCTGAGTTGAGCAACTGCGATCAGCGGTGATTCGTTGTATGGGAATAATACAAATGTCGACTTAATTAGCTGCTGAAATTCACTTTTATCGCCATCGTCAAAACCCTTTTGGGTCGTCGCCTCCGTCGGACGTTGAAATCCATCCATTAATCTACTCCTTCAACGAATGGGATATAGTTGAGTAAATTTCACTTTCCCTACTCCGAGGAGAGCGTCGTTGTCATAATTCAGCTATAATGGGAAATTTATCCCATTTAAACGAAAAGTTACTGGTACGAGCCTAGGAGTGATCTAGGGACGTAGCAATTGTCACAATGGTCCTTTTGGTGTTTCGCAAGCGGAACAAGTGTTGAGTATTGCTAACTTTTAAATCTCCTCAACAATTATTCATGTAGGTTGGTTTTTGATTTATTGCTCTAAAAAATGATAATAGTTCATAATACTGTCCACTTAAATTGTAAACAATAGCAACGTGTACTTAAGCATAAGAAAAGTATGATAATGGTCCCAAGGGTTTTTTTATGAAAAATTTGCAATTTCGTAAATAATATTCAAGTGTGAGATAGCGTTATTTACATAAAAATTAAAATGTTTGTTTCGACCAGGTCGAATTATCGTGAAAGGTTTTTGTTTGACAGAACTGTTTTTATAGGGTAGACGTACCAGTTATGGCTATACGTTCCCATTATGGTGTGTTCCAATTATGGCCTATGGAATTCCATAGGCCATAATTGGAACATACCATAATGGGAACGTATAGCCATAACTGGTACGTCTACCCTATTTGTTTTGCCCAAGAAACAAAAACGCATTGGCATGTGTTGTTAATTTTTTTACACGTATATTTTTAGTAGGTGACAATTATAAGAATCGATGGGAGAAGATTTATTTGACATTTCGTAACAAATGAAAGTACAAACCCTCTTGCACGACGACCCAACCTCGTCAATCTTTCCGTAACTCGATTTCCCATCTTCACGGCTCAACAGTTTTGTTTTCCCGGTTGTTAATTTTGAAAACTCTCAGAAGAGGGAAACAACAGGAAACAATTGATTTGATAAAATGAGGGTGGGGGTGGTTTGGATATTTACGATTTACATCGTCATTGGCACGGCTCGGTTAGGAGGGAGGTCCTGGATTGTTGGATGGCATTTTTCACGGAATAGCCAGGGGTCGGGGCAGTAGAACGGAATGGTGAGCGGGGAGAAATTCGTGTCGGGTTGTAATTTGTAATGAAAGAGTTTGGAAACTTTCGAACAATTAAGTTAATTTATTGCTGGAACGACGATAGGTGGGAGTAGGAGTCGATTCGGCTGACGGCTTGCAGAGGCTGCATTTAAGAAGAGAGATTTTCAATTCGGCATGAAAATTAGAGCTGACAATGTGACAGTTTCCCATGGATGGCCGAAAGGTATGAATTGTTTGCTGGCAATTTGAGGTGCTTAGGTTCTTGAAAAATTTGAATTTGCTTTAGTATGTATGTTCAATTTCTATATGCCAGGAAAATTATTCACTTGATGGAAGGTTGATGCTAATTCATGTGTTTTCGAGTACGCTTATAGACTTAAAGAATACACGTGGTGTGGTAAATAACTGTTGATCGTTTTCAATTTTCAAGATATTTATCTTGATAAATATTGAATTCCTTGACTTTGTTTACATCCTCTCAGCACCGCTCACAAATAGGCGGCTTTTGACGTAGGACTACGTCTTTGATTTCTATATGGGGGTACACTTTGTGAAAACCGAAAATGGAACATGTAACAAATTAAGAAAGGTTTTGAACGTTAATAACTCAGCTGCTCCTGGTCCAATTTCAATAATTTTATCACCAATCGATCAGAAATATGGCTATACATCGCATAACAACGCTTCCGAATGTTGATTTTCAACAAGAAACTATTGAAAAACTGGTAAATGTCCAGCATTGTCCAAAAGCGTCGAAATAACTAACAAATCCATTAATTACCTACATGCATATGCTGCTTCCCCAGCACAGTCGTCAGAGAGTAGTAAGTAGACGATACAAGTCGAAGTGGCATTCGCCTCCGATCCTCGGGCGCGTGCGAAAAGGGAGGATGGAATTGCGTAATATTTCGCACACTCATCGCCATATTCAGAACCAAACGCAAATTCTTCGAGATAACCACCATCCGTCGTCTGGCTCGCCGTGGCGGTGTCTGACGTATCTCCGGTCTGATTTACGAGGTGTGCTGAAGGTGTTCCTTAAAAATGAGATCCGTGAAGCTGTCACCTACACTAAACACGCCAAGCGTAAGCGGCCATGGATGTCATCTACGTTTTGAAGTGACAGAGACGCACTCTGTTTGGTTTCGGAGGTTAAATCATCACCAACTTTGGCAACAAAACGGCTCTTTTCAGGGCCACCAAGCTTATTACAGTAAAGAGTAGGAATAGAATTCATCTGCCTGTTTGTCCATATTCAGAACCAACGATCACACAAAATGCTTATGTAATCAAACTGGAAGCAGGGGTACAAATTAATTTGATCAACCTTGATCAACTTTGAATCGCCACGGCCGGATATTTTCGATGGAAGAAGCAACAATCTAGCATCTAATTCGACGAAGACGGCAGGAATAATTTGTGAAGCCGAGTTATTTACGAAAGAGAGTGTGGATGAAGAGAATCGATCAATGTAGATAGGACCTATTGAAAAGTGACGCGAGATTTTTTTTTGTGTACTGAGCTCCAATGCAACCGATGCCAGGGAGGCAGCTCCCACACCTGGACCCTACCAACCGACCCATCAACTCAACCGGGGACCAACGGCTGTACTTCCCGAAGGAAGGCGTGATCAGAGATGTTATGCCTTAGAACATGCCGGTGACGCCCACTGAGGTTGGACCCAGGCCTGCTGGGGTGAGAGCCCAAGCAACACCATTTGTTTCTCAGCGAGTAACAACAACCTTAGTGTGACTAATAGACGGTCTAAATTATGAACAACGCACCGCGTATAAAACCTCATTGTACCTTAAAAAGCGCAGAAGGTGGAGTCTCTTTGCAACTTATGTTTGTGGCATAAGGTGTTGCAATTAAGGTGCATGTAACATGATATTTGAATGACACAAGTTGTAAATGAGTTTTTAACTGACTTAACTGCAATGTTTCACTGAAATTTTTAAAACAGTACTGTGATGTTTTCGAATACATGTAAATGACATTCAAGTTAACCACGTAAATGTATTGGATATTTTTGTGAGGTGATACGAAAAAAGCATACTGCTGTTTTTATATAGACTGAAAAATCAGAGATTGTCATCGTAGAAAAAAACATTTTAATAAAAGTATGAAATTAATTATTTTAAAATATTGATAACTAGTGCGTTTTTTTTAAACGCGTATAGTTTTATGGTGAAATTACACATTTTGCTTCGATTAAATATGTACGCCTTCAAAAACTTAAAAATTGATGCCACAAATTTGCAGCTTAAAAGTATGTTGAAATAAAAAATCGGTCTCTTAAAATATATATTTATATTCAAACTATTGGAAAACATTACAGCTGTAATAAGTATTACATGTTTTTATGTTAATAGGGAGTGAAAGATGAATAAATTGAAAAATAAGTTTGTTATGTTTATTTCTGGTGGATTACATATGGCTGCCAGTCTTAACAACAGCATTCTGATTGTGTACATTGCGGGTCAACATGTTCAGTACAATCATATTTATTTGTATGTGCGGTTGTGTTTGCGAATCTGATTAATTTTTGGTTTCATTCTAACCGAATGAAATTGGCATAATGATGAGTACTTAAAACTCAAAATTATGTTTAAAAAAAAAGTAATAATCATTGGGATGGTCAGTGGTCACTGTAAATAATGTACCCAGGCAAGGCAGCCAATTACCGACAAGATATTCTGACAAGCTGGTAGATGCCACACCAGCATAGTTAATTTAAAATAAACACTTCGCAAGTAACAATCAAGGCCTAATAAGTGATCAGCATTTTCAAACCAAATAAGCGTTTTTTATGCAGTACCGATAGATCATATTAATTAATATAATTACAGAATATTTTTTAGCTGACAGAAAGTTTATTGAATGCAGAAACTAATTTGACGAAGTATTTTATGCATCTATTTAAACTTAAATATATATTTTTTTAAATAAAATAAATGTTATACATTTTTATCAATTAAAAAACAATCAATCAATAAGCAGTTAAATAAATGAAATAAAATCAAATTAAAGAAGCCTGTAAACCAATTGAAATTAATGACTTAAAATCATAAACTGCCACTGTTTTTACTGAAAAATGCTAAAACTTTCATAATTTCGTCATTTTTGAACAGAAAATTTTTATCTATCTATTGAAATAGAATCGCAAACTCCTCAAGTTTTGATGAGCATTGCAGTATTAAAAAAAAACTTATGATTCTGAAAATATTATGAACTAAAAAAGTGTAATTTTTTGACATAGGGGGTTTGAAAATCAGACAAAAGTTCACCGGTTCGATTTTTTTTTTCGGTACGTTTTAATTTTTCTAATAGGAAGCCATCCACAAATTATGTAAGGGTTTTTGAATGATCATTAAATCTCTGTAAAGTTTGCAGTTCGCAACCCTTCCCCCGAAAATCTTTCTAAGATGTTAAAATTTTCAGAAAATCGTTAGATATCGATTTGGGTAAACTTTTACATGCATTTGCGCATTTAATGTATTTGGAGGTGTTTTGGCATTAAATCGCTTATGATA